TGTGGGTGGGATTCTCGGTCTCTGAAGGCAACACATGCTGACAAGATCCGCCGCAGCTCTCCAAGGTCACCGTTCTCGGCGCTGCCGGCGGCATCGGCCAGCCTCTCTCTCTGCTCCTGAAGCTCAACCCCCGTGTCACTGAGCTCGCCCTCTATGACATTCGCGGCGGTCCCGGTACGAACTCCTGTCGTGTCACCATGCCTACATGCACAAATGACTGACGAGCCAAACCAATGCAGGTGTCGCTGCCGACATCTCCCACGTCAACACCAAGTCTAAGGTGACCGGCTACGAGGCCACCCCCGCCGGTCTCGCCGCCGCCCTCAAGGGTGCTGACGTTGTCCTCATCCCCGCCGGTGTCCCCCGCAAGCCCGGCATGACCCGTGATGACCTCTTCAACACCAACGCCTCCATCGTTCGCGACCTCGCCAAGGCCGCCGCCGACTCGGCTCCCGAGGCTAACCTCCTCATCATCGCCAACCCCGTCAACTCGACTGTCCCCATCTGCGCCGAGGTCTACAAGAAGGCTGGCGTCTACAACCCCAAGCGCCTCTTCGGTGTCACCACCCTCGACGTTGTCCGTGCCTCGCGCTTCGTCTCCGAGATCAAGGGCACCGACCCCAAGGACGAGGACATCACCGTCGTCGGCGGCCACTCCGGTGTCACCATTGTCCCCCTCTTCAGCCAGTCCAACCACCCCGACCTGTCCTCCAACGAGGCCCTTATCAACCGCGTTCAGTTCGGCGGTGACGAGGTCGTCAAGGCCAAGGACGGTGCCGGTTCCGCCACCCTCTCCATGGCCATGGCCGGTGCCCGCATGGCCGAGTCCCTGCTCCGCGCCTCCCAGGGCGAGAAGGGCATTGTCGAGCCCACCTTTGTCGACTCGCCCCTTTACAAGGACCAGGGCATTGACTTCTTCTCCTCCAAGGTCGAGCTCGGCCCCAACGGTGTCGAGAAGATCCACCCCGTCGGCTCCGTCGACGCCGTCGAGGAGCGCCTCCTCGAGGCCTGCTTCGGCGACCTCAAGAAGAACATCGCCAAGGGTGTCGCCTTTGTCGCTTCTAACCCCCCCAAATAAGCGTCTCGCTCCCTCTCCCCTTGCCCCTTCTCGTCTTCTCTCCTCTTTATCCTCGTGAGTGAGGGCCGGCAAAAGGGGGAGGGGCTGCTGTTGGTGCTGAGTGTAAGATGGTGATGGTCATAATGATATACGGACGGATCGGGAATGACGAACGGTGCGAAACCTGCTGATTCGAAGCAAATCGATCTTGCTCCCGTCCCGCGGCCGCCATTCCAAGAGCTGGATGGTCATGTCTAGGGAGGGAGAGAAAAATAGTGGCAAGGGGGCGAAATCGCCTTGAACGGCTCTGCTTCTCCCTTTCTTCTCTTGAGCTCGACTTCGGGTCTGCTCGCTGTACCATAGTCTAACATGCTTCGTACCCTATCCTCTGTCCCTGCTTTTCGCCCCGTTCGTGATATTTGATCTTGATGAAGACGGCTTTTGATGTTAGAGATGACATGGTCAAACATCACTTCGAAACCATGGGATTAAACAAGCGGGATAGATCAATTAGAATGCCATGCATGTCTACTAACAACATCTAGAGAAAAAAGGTCTATACACGGCTGGAGGGAGAACATCAGGCAGTGATGCCCTCACTCATCATCTCCAGGGAGGGGGCGCACATGTACATGTGTCTACTGCGCCGGGCCACCGCGACGCCAATTGGCCACCTGCTGCCGCCTGTCGGCAATCTGCTTCTCGAGCGCAGCAATCTTCTCCTCCTCAGCCTTCTCCTGCTCGGCGATGAGCTTCTGGGTAGCCTCGGCCTTGCGCACCCTTTCGCGCTCGAGCTGGTCGGGCCGGCGGTCCGCAATGTCACGGGGGCGGAAGTCGGAGAAGAGGCGTTTCAGGACAACCTCGATAGTCCAGCAGGCCGCGTAGTCAAACACCATGACGGACGTCATGGTAGTCTTGAACTCGTCGGTGAAGGGTACAAGCTTCATCTGCTCGTTGATCTCGGGCGCGAGCTCCATGGCGCAAGAGAAGGCGAGGGCCGAGACGCCGAGGATGCCCCAGAACATGCCGCGGTTCTCGGAGAGGGACTCACGGAAGGGACGGCCCTGATAGTTGATGGCGAAGGTGCTGATCTGCTGGATGAGCTGCAGGAGGTAGACGGCACTGTTAAGCAGGCTGGGCGAGAACTCAGCCTCGAGGTCGACGTTGTCGGAGCGACTGACAATTAGGTTAGCATGGTTCAACTGAAGTCACCCAAAATATAGTGAGAAACTTACGGCTCAAGACGGTCGCACAGACGGGCAACGTAGATGAGAGTCACAATGTGGATGGCGAATTGGCCGAGAATCGAGCCAATAATATAAAAGTTGAAGATGTTGGGCTGAGGGCGCTCCTTGGACAGACCCTCGACAACACGGGCACGGGACAGGGACAGGAAGCAGACGCTCATGAGAACGCCGCTGATGGTGTACTGCCCGTCACCAAACTTGATACCCTCGAGGTAGAGGACACTGAGACTGTAGGCGGTGATCAAACAGTTCAGGGCGAGAATCTTGTACATCTGAATGGTGGCGACAAGTGTGCAACGGCCCTGGCGAATAATGTTGGGGACGGCAATGACGTTGCGGAGCTTACTCGTGAAGGGCGCAGCAACAGAAGCGTCGCCGAGCTTTAGAGTCGGGGGTTCGTTGTCGTCGAGCTCATTCTCCATGAGGCTGGTGGTCATCCTGTCGGCGAGGTTGGCGGCCTTCTTCTGGGCTTGGGCATTGCGGTTCTTAGGGTCAGAGTTGATGAGCTGCTGAGCGGCGGGCGAAGTGATGGTCTCGACGTCGTATCCTTGAGCCTTGACGTACTCTTCAGGTGAAACCTTCTTCTTTTGGGCCTCACGTTCGACAGCCTTATTGAAGTTGGGGTTGCTAGGACCCGGAGGGTACATGTGGGCGATCAGGACAGGGACGGGGGGGGCAGGCTGGTTGAAGCGCTTCATCATCTCTACTTGCTTCTGGTAGATGTCTTTCATCCTAGTATTGCGAGAGTGCTCAGCAATACGAACAAGGTCCTCCTGGGTACCGTTGAGAAGGGCGACACCAATGTGGGCCTGCTTGAGAGCACCGACGTCGTTCGTGCCATCGCCAGCCATCAGAGTGTAGTAGCCCATCTCCTTGAGACCGAGAAGGATGTCCTCCTTCTGCTTGGGCGACACACGAGCGTAGACCCAGGTGTGACGGAGGATGGAGAACCAGGCCTGCTGGCCCTTGAACTTGGCGAGAGCGTAACCGGTAACACAGAGATCCTTGGTCTTGATAATTTCGGGGTCGATGGGTTTGGTAGGGTCCACGGGGATGCTGATCTTGTCGTCCACACTTCTCCAGACGAGCTTGTCGCCATCGTCGTTGTCCTCAGGAGCGTCGAGGATGAGGACGTCACGGTCCACAATCTCGACATCGCGAGCGACATAGACGGCGGTGAGAGGATTGTCTCCGGTGATCATGACGACACGGTGGCTGCTCTCGTTGAGCATCTGAACGGCTTCTTTGGCATCTTCCTTGAGAGGGCAGGACAGGACGAGGAAGCCGGCAAAAGTAAGGCCGCACTCGACCTGCTCACGCTTGAGGTCGTTGATCTTGCCACTGCTCAGTTCGCCCTCCGTACTCAGCTGCTTGTAGGCAAGCGCGAGGACACGGGATCCGCGACGGGTAAAGTACTTGTAGGTTTCTTCGTAATCAGCGGGGACAGTCGTGAGCCTCTTCATGATGGTCTCGGGCGCACCCTTGACACCAACAAAAGTGCCACGGAGCTTGTTTCCAGTGTTGTTGTCAATGCCGCTAATGGTCGCAACGGAGCTCTGGCGCTTGAGAGCGGACGAGAACTGGAAACGACGCTTCACCTGAACGTTGCCGCTGATACCAGTAGTGGCCACGGTGGCGGGCTTCGCCAGAAGCACATCGTTCTTGCCAATAGTCCAACCAATCGAGGTGAGAGTGGCCTTCTCCATGGGGTCACCAACAATCTCGCCCTCGTCGAGCTTGACGAGAGCATGGGCAGAAGCCAGAACCAGGGTCGTCTCGAGGCCGATATCCTTGACAGCGGTCATGTGAGAGTGGGCACCGTCAGACTCCCGAGGAGTATCAGCGCCAGTGTGTCCGACAAGACCGAGGCCGGCGATACCCTCAACAACAAGGTCCTCACCAGTCAAAGTACCCGTCTTGTCGAAACAAGCAACGTCAATGCGTCCAGCAAAGGGGATGCGGAAGGGCTCGGTGCAGAAGATGGCAAGCTTGGCCAGGGCGGCAAGGCTGGTGTTGACGGCAAGACTGAGCTCCATAGGAAGTTCGGGGGGCACGACGCTGGTGACGATCAAGACACAGTCGAGCAGAAGCTTGGAGCGCTTGCGATCCTTGCGGACACCCTCGTCCCAGACATACCAAGAAGCGGCAATGGCGAAGATCAGGAGGAAGAGAATGAAGAAGAGGGCCTCCACGTTGTTGGCGGAGACGCGCTCGGTCGAGTAGATCATGGTGCGGACGAGGCTGCCCTGCGAGGTCTCAAAGCCAGTCTTTTGCACAATGGCCATGGCCCCATTATCAGGAGGGGGAGGGACGCCGGAGATCAGCCTGGGCTTGACCTCGTCGGGGTTACCGTGGGTGATCTGGAGGACCTTGGTGCCGCCCCAGAGGAAGGCATTTTTGTCGAGTCCTTCGGGCTCGATGGCGGCATCCTGGGGCCGCAGCTGGATGGAGTCCTTGAGAAGCGGGGTGCTCTCACCAGACAGCATGGCCTCGTTGACAATGGCAGTGCCCTCAACGAGGAGCATGTCGCAAGCAACGCCACCGTCCTCCTTGGTACGGCCGGCAGAGGCAAGATCGCCGGGCAGAAGCTGGTCGCTCATAATCTCGGTCCACTTGCCGAGGCGGTAGACGTAGATCTCGTAGGGCTTGATGCTCATGCTACGGAACTCCATGAGGGTCCGCTGGCGCTGCCAGACGACGGTGCTCTCAAAGGCGACGAGCATGAAGAGGGTGAACAGCGAGTAGTACCAGTATTCATCGAGCATCCACAGGCCGACACAGAAGATTTGGAAAACGAAGAAGGGGGCGACGGCGTGCTCCTTGAAGAGCTCACTGAAGGTGGGAACGGGGATGTCGAACGTGTTGGGTCCATAGTGCTCCTGAATGCGGGTGAGCTCGGCCTGGGTGGCGATGCCCTTCGACTTTTGGAACTGGGCGATGCTAGGCTTTGGCTCAGCGTCGATGGCATATACCAGAGTGCGGAACGTCTTATCTTCGGGGACGTAGAGGAATCGGCGCTTCTGGAAGAGGAACGACGTGTTCGTACGGCCGTTGGTCTAGAAGAAGGGGTCAGCACATGCTCGAGGCTCAAGGTGGAAGGCCAGCAAGCAGCAAGCTGGGAGGAAGGGAGGAGGAGCAACCTACAGTGTCGCGCACAATGGTGCAAACTTCGGGCGATCCAGCGTTGGCGACGGGCAGGACCTTGATGAGCTCGGCATCTTCAATGGTCTTGGCGCGGGTGGCCGTGAAGAGAGTCTGAAGGTTGACGCTCCAGTGGGTGCAGAGCCAGACGAGAGACTGCAGGGTGGTGATGGTGGCGATCCAGACAAAAGTCCATTCCTCGGAGGAAATGTACTTGTCGTACAGGTCGGTGGTCAGGTAGTAGCGCAGGAAGACGGGCCAGACGACGGCGAAGGGCCAGATGTAGGCGTGGAGATACAGAGGCAGCGGCTTCCACAGCTCCGCCGCCTTGATTTGGGAGTTATCGACAAGGGGCGCCATGGTGGGCAATGATGCCCTGACGGTTGCCGGTCGCGCAAGGAGGAGCGTCAAGGGAAAAGAAAAAAAGGATCGCGACGAAATCTATGAGGTGTTTCGTCGAATGCGGGTGATTCGGCTCGTCACTGCATCGGCGTCTTCGGGGGAATACGCGGGTTGCAGTCGCAGAGTGTCGGCTCCGTGGTCCGTTGAGGTTCAGGAGACAAGTCGTATCGTGGCCTGTTGACGGGCGGCACGGAACAGAAGCTCGTCGAAGGCGAGGGTCCAATGTGTGGTGGAGCGACCAGGCCTTGTGTGGAGATCGGGAGAGGAAGATGTGTACTTTTTTCGCCGTTCATGGCAAAGGGGGGATCCACCTCGAATTCGAGAGTAGCAGAAAAGCGTCGCATTGGCTGGCTGCCTTGTGGCTGATTAGGTCAGCATCTCTATCGGCTGAATCACGTCAATCAGCGTGAAGTGGAGGGGCCCGACCAGAAGCCTGGTCAAGATCCCCAGATCCCCTGTAGCTTGGGGCTCTGTTCGTGCTTGACAGGCTCATCAGCCGCCTATCTCGACAGACACCATCAACACCAATGAATGGCATCGTGATATCCATCACTACACACAAACAACAGACCGCCTCTCGACTCGGCGGTGAATGTAATCAGGAAGCTATTCAATTCATTTCTTTCTGGCAGCTGAACCCTTTCCGACGCATCTCTGTCTCACCTTCAGCACTGGACCACTATCTACATTGTATCAGGCTAATGTGATACCAATCCCCCCATCCGACTCGTTGAACATGTCAAGTTGCTCGTCCATTGGCCTTTGTCCCCGGCACCACGAGACCAGGTGTCGCGAGCTTGCGTCTCTATCATGGCATCAAAATAATGTTCTTTCTTCGTTGCCGGATCAAGACCCATGTCCCCCGGGAAGGGGGCGCCGTCAGTGCGGCTCCTTGCAAAGGAGAGGGGGCTGCCCAATCTTCCCGTATCTGGTCATGTCTCATCAGCGGGAATGCTACACCAGCACCAGGCCACGGAGCCCGCGAGATTGGGACCTTGACAGCACATGGTTCGCCGTCAGGGTGCCCTGGCTTGCCTGTGCTTGTGCTTGTACTCACTGCTTGTCTTTGGGTCTGTGCGTCAAAGACCAGCTGGAGTCTTACAACGCAGCACGTTGGACTGAAACCAGAGACCTGTCCTAGGCTACACATCCTACCCGCTGTCAATTCTGACCAAGCGTAAGTACTTGTCTTGCATTTCTCACCTCTGTCACATCTCATCGTCACAGGCCACACTCTCTCTTTCACTTGGCGTTCTAAGAAACACTGAATGACGGTGCACCATTGTCTCCTTGTTTCGGGGCGTCCTCATTCTCAACTCTACAGCAGGCGTCCATCTCAAGGCTCAGATCGCTTGATGGCCTCATGCTTGTTTGCTTCCAATGACGCGTCAAGGGGGGACCATAGAATCTCTTGGGAACCCATCGACTGGCCTGAAGTACCGCGCGAAAGCGTAGTGTTTTCCACTCTGCACCAATCGGGACAAATTACCATGCAGCATGTGCAATGTTGGCACCGTTCTAGTGCTCCCGCCCCATGTCTCGGCGTTGAGGCGAAGTTCCGCCCAGACGCCCTGATATCATAGCTCATTATCGCCCAGTCGTCCGTGGCGAGCCTTCCCGCCCGCAACGTGAAGACACCCTGGTCCGGCACGGCTCCCGTCCCAGGGACCCAGGGTGCAAAAAGCATTCAAGGGCTGTAGCTGAAATTGGGTGGGAAGAGCCTGTCAACGTCCACATTTCTGGGGTCACGGCCACCTTGGCATCATTACACGGGTCCTGCCCGAAGCCAGCCGGGGACAAGACCATGGGACTGGGACGCTACGGACTATTACTTCATAATACAGGGAGTACATGACTTCTGGCGGGTTGTCTTATTTAGTTTGCGTGTCCCCTCGACCCAGAACTGTTCTTCGTAGTCTGTGCAGACTGAAAGACCAGACCGAGTCCTACCACTACTCCGCGACCTTGTTCCATCGATTCATCAGGCAAACAGAAACGAGGCTATTGACGTCACGGCATCTGTGTGATGGCTGGCGACGCCGACGCTGCTGCTGCTGCGGGCTTTCTCGAATACCATGAGCCTCAGGTTCAACAGATACTTATCATTATCTCTTTCTTCTTTTTCCTCGCCCTCGCAGAATGGATATCCGACAAAATTTTCAAGGCCGGCCTCATTGGCCAAATGATCGTCGGTCTGCTATATGGCATGCCCATCGGCAACGTTATGCCCCTTGAGTGGCAGGAGACTTTCGTGAGCCTGGGATACATCGGGCTCATTCTGATCATTTTTGAAGGTACATCACCCTTGACGGAGCTGCCATGCGGTGACTGATCTGGCTGACATCACAGGCGGCCTGACCGTTCATCTCGGCCTTCTCAAGGCCAACTTCTTCCTCAGCTTTTGCGCAGCCGCCCATTGGCATCCTCATCCCAATAGGGCTGTGCTTTGCTCTTCTTCACATCGGGTTCGGCTACGGCGCTGTCGAGACCTTCATCATTCGGCGCCGCCCTCTCTGTGACATCGCTCGGCACGACTTTTGTGGTGATCGGCAGCGCCCCCAAAGGCATCGATTTTGCCAAGACGAAGGTCGGAACGGTACTCATCAGCGCAGCTGTCGTCAGCGACGTGACAGGCCTCATCATGGCCAGCGTCATCCACAACCTGGGTTCCGTGGCAGACGGAGGCGACGACGTCAATCTCGGCTGGCTCATTGGCAGGCCGATCCTCGCGAGTGCCCTCCTCGGCATCCTGACCCCGCTCGTCGCCAAGTTTGTCGCCGGACCCATATTCCGCTGGTATATCGAGGACATCTTCGCGCGATATAAGCATACCTCCAACATTTTCCTCATGGTCGTCATGCTCTGTACCTTTGTCAGCATCGCAGGCTTCGCCGGCGCCTCAGCCCTCTACGGATCCTTCCTAGCCGGCACTTTCCTCAGCGCCCTGCCATGCATCCATCCAGACGGACCCTTCATGGTCTTTGACCGTGAACATGGCGAGTCGGACCCCGACAAAACGCCGACCTTTGTTCACACGTTTGAAAAGTACTTTCTCGGCGCACAGACATACATCCTCCAGCCCATGTTCTTCGCGAGCATCGGCTTCGCCATCCCCTTCAAGAAGCTCTGGACAGGCGAGGCTATCTGGCGCGGGGTCGTCTTCACACTCCTCATGCTCGCCGGCAAGCTCGTCGTCGGCGCTATTGTTCCCATCCGCGACTTTGTGACCGAGAAGCCCATGCTCCGCCCCCGTGAGCTCGCCTCCTCGACCTGGAAGCCCGCCATGCTCCTCGGTGTCGCCATGGTCGCCCGCGGCGAGATCGGCCTGCTCATCATCCAGATCGGCCTCAATGAGACACCATATCTCTCTGAGGACGCCTTCATCGTAGCCACGTGGGCCACCGTCTTGAGTACCATTGTCGGCCCTGTCGTCGTCGGTCTGCTGCTGAAGCGCCATGGCCAATCCATAAGCGACGACCAGCGCTGGGGCCTACAGACATGCGATCTCTTTGAGGGGTGGGACAGCGACGCCATCACCATGGAAGAGGGTGGGGCCGGAAGCCGCTGGGCAAGCCGAAGACACTCGAGGGCCGTGAGCCGCGCGGCCAGTGAGCGGACCAGGAGCAGGGCCGCGTCAAGGGCCCTTCGAGGGGTCCCGGTGGAAGTGACGAGGAAGGTGAGCGGAGAAAATCAGAAC